GGTAATTACCCTGAGATCAAGGAAATATTATTCTAGGCATTTTTCACGGAATATCATATGTTCATTTATTGTCCTACTTTTCCCCTTCCTTGTATAGCTTTTGTGTTTGCTACTGAAACAGATATCCATATTAATCCAGCTTATAACTTTATAAATGTAGTGTTGCTAACCTTTCCTGTGTTTTTTTGTTGTTTTGTTTGTGGATTTGTTTGTTTGTTCTTATCATAATTTGTTTGCCATATAAAGCAAACTAACTACTAGGAAGCTTTGTTGAGTTGATTATACTGACCCTCTCCACTAGATGTAGCTGTTATAGGACTGTGCAGATGTTCATTCCATATTTGTTAACCAATGTATCTAAGAGGTCTTTCTAAGTCTCAATAGTTGAAACAGTTCCTAGATTAAAAAAAAGAAAGAAAACAAAAATAGAGGAAGCTACACCCTGTCGGTATTTTAGAAAGGACACTAGATATCAAAGGGCTGTTGAGGCTTGTGTGGCCTGTTATGAGAGTAGGGGATGTACATGCATCAGGGCCTCTGAGAAAGAAAAAAACATTGTGTGTGTCTTGTGTGTATGTATGTGCTTTAATTTTTTCTTTTTCTTTTTTCCTTCTTCTATATATTTTCATGCTGCTGGCTCTTATCTTGTTTATCTATACATATATGTGTGTGCGTGTGTATGTGTGTGTGATATATATATATATATATATATATATATATATATATATATATATATATATATATATATATATATATATATATATATATATATATATAGTTCATATGCCCCTTTTCTCTCATAAAATGTCACATATTACATCAGATTCCCAGAATTGCATTTAGAACTGGCAGCAGTTGTTCTCAGCCTTTTCATGCTTTCTCTGTTGTCAGTTTGACCCTAGGGACTATGTGTGGGGGGGAATGTAGAATAGACCTAAAAAGCTTGATGCTTGAGGCTAAATAAAGACAAGCTAGATACTAAGTTAAAGCAGATTTACATATTAAAAAGCATTGTACTTGTTAGATATTAGTTAGGTAGCTGAATGAAAATGGAAAAATTGTGTTTGAAAGGAAAGGCAAAGAGAGAATGGTTAAAAACTAAGGATAGTCATGTTAAGTGTCTTAGAGATGCATGTTTCTTTTTGCACATATCCACTTATATGCAGATGTTAAAATGTAATTTTAATTGTTAGTAATAAGAAATTAAACAGCAGTCTTATTTAAATAAAAAAGGGAAGCAAAAATTCAGTTTCTGTCTGTGCCAAAATGTTATTTTTACCCTCATTTTGCAGGTAACAACCCAGCCTCTTCAGCTCCGAGAAGAACACGGGCAAGGGCTCCAAGACGACACCGCTAGCCGACTCGCCCTTGATACCCAATGATAATGAGGGGACCTTTCAGCCTTTGTTACTGATGCCCTCTGGACCTTCCTTACGAAGCTGTTCCCGCAGCTCTGCCCTATGGTTCTCAAGGGTAGGATCAAAATCAGCCACATGCAGCAGTTGCCCACAAGGATTCATAAGTCCTAGCTAGGTGGAGTGGCATTTCACATGTCACGTCAGAGCCTGTGCAAAATGTACAGGCTTCCCTTTGGGGCCACAACATGATGTGGCTTCCTTTTTTCAGCTCTGTGGAGAGACTTGTAAGCACACTGGTTATAGGAGTGTCAATTAAGTGCTTGCTTAACATGGTCTGCTTATGTGAAAAAGGACTTGCAAGTGTATATTTAACCAAGGTTGACGATATTACCTAACGGGAATCCATAAATGAAAGCATTAGTAATCCATATCATATCAAATAAATGTATAATATTGTAAGTGTGTGTTCAGTTGTTATCGTGAACACTTTGCTGTAATTCAGCAAAGCTTTACTGTGTATTTTGAATTAACATCACTTGACTTTCATAAACATCATATTTGTCCAACTAAGAAGAGATGCCCAAAGGATACCAAGAATAGATATGTTGCTAAATATTATCAAGCAATTTTCCATATTTAGAGTATCAGTTTTGGTGGCATTATTTAGACCCATAGAGCTGCTTCTAGCTAACATACATATGTATAGATATATATAGATATATATATTTGATTTATATCTTATTTCTTTCTTTTTCCTTTTTGTGTGTTATTTTTCATAAGGGTTTAGGGTCTCATACTGCTGTGTGATTTGAGTACTCTTGTGATTACTCTACACTGAATAGCAAATTATTATATCCTAACTCAAGTTTCAGAAGAAAAAAAAATCTCTCTTCTTTTCTATCACAACTAGTTTATATGCTTTCAGCCATTTTCTTGAGCCTGTATTGTTGTGACACAAAGGAGCCTTTTCAGTCAGTTTAACATCCACCAGAAAGTAAACCATGATAGACTAGGCCAACAATTGGGAATGATCACTATGTATGTTGCTTTTTTTATATACTTTATATTATTTTACTTAGCAAAGAGGCATTACATACACTTGCAGCCTTTTGCTCTTTGACAACATTTTGCCTTTTTGTGATTACAGTGTCAGTGTAAGACAAACTTAATCACTGCCCTTTGCAGCTTCTATTCCAACTGGCCCTGTTAAGCGTGCCACATTATTGGATCACTAGCAACCACATACTTTTGGTGTTGTGGATTGTGAAGAAGACAGGGGTTAGGGGGAAGGGGGGGGGATGGGAGGGATGGGAGGAAGTTACCTGATCCCAGAACTGTTCACATTGATATTGTATGGGTTAGGGATTTGCAGGTATTAGTGGAATTTAAGTGATTATATGTCAGCCTATATGGTAGTTGTACTGTACTACTGACATTTTTTAGTGTTCAGTTGAATGAACATGCAAAATCACACAATGTTGCGTTTCGGTGCTAACTCGTTACATAGTTCATGAAACCTTTCCCTGCTGACCCTAATATTATTGTAGCACCTTGCTAATTTAGAAATAAAATTTAAAAAATGCCAGAGTACATACCTCTTTGTCTCTTGTATCACCAAGTTGACCAGGTGTCTATTGTTGATGTCCTCCCGTGGACTCGGTTGAAATGAATATGTCCAAGCTCTCTTCCTCATTTCAAGGTTGTACATTTTCTACAACTTGAATGATAATATAAATGTTTCTGATCAGAAATGAATACTACTTTTTTCTTTCTTTCTTTTTTCTTTTTCTTTTTCTTTTTCTTTTATCTTTCTTTTTTCTTTCTTTCTTTCTTCCTTTCTTTGTACTTCTCATCATTATCACTATTGCAATAGAACATATTATTTATATGTGTTGATGTATTTTTTTCATTTATTACATTGAGATTTTTTTTCTTTCTTTTTTTTCCGTAACTCGTAATTATATATAAGTATATATATATCCGCATATATATTTTTCCCCCCGTTGTAGATAATAAATAGAAAGTCGCCACTCGGGTTCTTCGGTTCTTAAGATGACGTTGGCCTATCCGAGCGCACTCGTCTTAAGGCATCAAGCAGAGACCCCTTCCTGAGATTAGTCTGTCCATTACAGTGTCTGTTTTACGAATTCCAACTCCCAGTATTAGAGAAACTTTGCCTATCCACGATACACGTGCCTTCACTCGATATTTGAAGTTGCTCCGCTTGTCTAACAAAGAGGACGTAATATTGGTAAAACAGACAATTTGTCCCGATTTCCTTTTTAAGACCACAACTCTGGCTGATATTGTGGCAGAAGAAGCCCTGGGAGGGTTTTGGTCGAGGATAAATGGGTGTGTTTGAAATGGATGCAGAAAGGGTTTGATAGATAATGCAAAAGTATTTTTTTCATATGGAGTGAGAAATACAAAGTATAGTGAGAGAGGGGAGGGGTGAGATTATCCTTTCTGTGGTCTATGACCCATTCTTGCATTCACCAAGAAAAATATGATGCAGAAATTGCATTAAAAACAGACAATTTGTCCCGATTTCCTTTTTAAGACCACAACTCTGGCTGATATTGTGGCAGAAGAAGCCCTGGGAGGGTTTTGGTCGAGGATAAATGGGTGTGTTTGAAATGGATGCAGAAAGGGTTTGATAGATAATGCAAAAGTATTTTTTTCATATGGAGTGAGAAATACAAAGTATAGTGAGAGAGGGGAGGGGTGAGATTATCCTTTCTGTGGTCTATGACCCATTCTTGCATTCACCAAGAAAAATATGATGCAGAATTGCATTAAAAATCTTTTTTTATTGGTTTAGTATGTTAATAATGCAGAAAGCTTAAATTGCTTGTCTGTGGTTTAAAATCTGGTTGTTCAATTTCCTATTCAGTAAATTCTTTAAGGGTTATATAAGCTTGTAAAGTTATGCATTTTAAGTGCTTGTATTTTTCCCCCCTTTTATTGTTACTATTCCACTTTTCTTTTTCATCTTATGGACCACATCTGTGATTCTGAATATTGTCACAGCATTCAGTCTTTTACTTCAGACCATATCCCTTTTGCAAATGTATTCCCCTACTTTGAATTCCCAGGTTTTATGTTAGGCTGTTTGTCAACTGGACTCATTCAATTGTTTTATTGAATAGATTATTTTAATATATAAAAGATATAAGAATGAAATCATGTTAATGCATTTTGATGATGGCTGTGCATAATAGATACTTCACTGAAATATGTCCAGTTAGCATGTAGCTCTTAGCTGTAAAAAGATTTGCCCTGGAGTTGACTCATGCCCACTCAGTCAAGTCCTGTGGAATCTGTTAGGTTTTGCTATTAAGGAAGTAATGCCAGTTTCTAGTTGATTATTGCTTGGCATTACATTTATATATCATGCAATGAGGTAAAGCAAGGCTTTTCCTTTTTTTCATATACTTAACCTTTATGTTTGATATTGAGGAGAAATGAAACGTGATAATCCTAGCATATAAAGAGAGCATTTGTTCATAATGGAGATAAGCCATGGCCCCAGAGAATGTGAGGTCATTCAAACCACACTGTGGATAGAAACCCTCCCCAAGCAGTGAAAAGGAAAGGCTGACCAAACCTTTTGCTTGAAAATTCACCTAGGGTATAGTGCAA